AGGGTTAAGTCAACTGTGATACATATACATACATACATACATATGTGTATATGTATGTATACATATATGTGTGTGAGTGTATATATATATTTTTTTCCGTCAAGAGCTAGAGAAATACTTGATATTTTTTCAGTTGTGTCTTTGTGAGTTCATAAATGACAGGACAAAAATCGTGGCGGTACAAATCTATCGGTCGTGACTGTCCCGTGGTCCAGCCCTTTCGCAGCTCGTCCCTGGAGCTCTGGCAGTGGGGCGTCAAGTGGCGGCCGGGACCCCTGGCCCTAGCCGTGCACCCTTCTTTTCCATTCCAGGAGGGAGGTAAGAGGATCCGCCTGCAGTCTTGGGGATCGTGGCCGAGGTTTCCACCCGCTGTCGGTGGGGACAAACTACCTGCCGGTGGCCGGGATGGGGTATGGTAGGCCCCGGGCCGGCCGTGCGCCCGAGCGCTTTGAAGCAGGCACGTTGAGGAGAGTGCTAAGACACTTAAAAAGTCCCTAAGTGTTTTTGAGACCCACGATTACTAGAGTTTATTAAGTGAATGCTAAAAAACACTTAAATGGTTTCTTTGATTCCAGAAAACTGCTTGTGGAACAAGAACTCTGAAAGCAACGGAACGTTTAAAAAACAAAAACAAAAAAAACAAAAACAAAAAACCCACCAAAACGAAATGGGAAAAAAAAAAAATAATAATAATAATACACAAAAATAAATCTCCAAAAACATTTCCCACTAGATACGGATACAAACATGTAACAAAGAGTATAAAAAAGTTATTCCTTTGAATAGATACAAACTCTTTTCAACTCAAATACTGGTTTTGCAATACTTAGTGTGGAGGGTACACACGATGAGGTGCAGAAGGTCCGTGGGGGTGGGGGGTGGGGGTGGGGATTTCACGACATCCTGGGTGGGTCCGCTGGCGCCGTCTCGCTGCCGGGTTTTGGTAAGGAAGAACCCGCCTGGTGCCGGGGCGGGGGGCCGGGGCGGCGGCTACTTCTCCGAGGAGTTCACCCTTTTGGACTTGATGAAGGCCATGCCGTGGGTCCGCATGTGCGCGTTTAAGGCCGCCTCCGTCTCGAAGGTCTTGGCGCACACCTTGCACTTCCTGTCCGACGGCCCGCCGCCCGCCGCCTCGTCGTCGCCGGGGCCCGCCGCGTGCTCGGGCTGGCTGTCCTCGCCCGCCCCGTTCTGCCGGGCCACGGGCTGCGGCTCCTTGAGCTTGTGCACGATGAAGAGGTGGCGGGAGAGCGAGCCGTGTGAGGTGTAGCACAGGCCGCACTCGCGGCACTGGTAGGAGGAGCCGTCGGACTTGTGCTGCGGGATGTGCTCGTGGAACTGCAGCAGGTTCTCGGTGGTGAAGCCGCACACGGCGCACTTGTGCACCTTGAACACGTTGATCTTCAGCTTCTTCAGCGGCTGCGTGATGGCACCGCGGGGCGGTCGGAACTCCAGGACCGGCTCCTCCAGCTTCCGCTTGGGGCTGGGGACCTTTGGGGAAAAGGAGACAGGGTGTTGGGGGTGCGGCTTCTCAGCCGCTCAGACCCCCCCTGGCTCCACTGCTGTGGGGGGTGGGGGAGGCCCTAGGGAACCTAGCCGGGACCAGGGAGCAAGTTCCCGGGGTGCCGGCTCAGTCTGATGAGAATTCAGGAGGAGGATTCAGATGCCACAGGGGACCAGCCCAGGTGCCGAGGGCCATGAAGGTCAGGAGTCGGGTGGCTGCCCTGTGTACTTGGGGACTGGGGCGGGGGAGGTGGGTGGGGACGGAGTGACCAGGTGAGCACGGGCTGGCAACGACAACGGGGAAGAGCTGGAGTCATGGGCTTAGAAAGACAATGTTGGGGCTGGAGCAATAGCACAGCGGGTAGGGCATCTGCCTTGCATGTGGCCGACCCGGGTTCGATTCTCAGCATCCCTCCCATAGGGTCCCCTGAGCACTGCCAGGAGTGATTCCTGAGTGCATGAGCCAGGAGTAACCCCTTTGTATCACCAGGTATGACCCAAAAAGAAAAAAAAAAAAGAAAGGAAGGAAAGAAAGAAAGAAAGAAAGAAAGAAAGAAAGAAAGAAAGGGGCTGGAGAGATAGCACAGCGGGTAGGGCGTTTGCCTTGCACGCAACCGAACTGGGTTCGCTTCCCAACATCCCATATGGTCCCCTGAGCACCGCCAGGAGTAACTCATGAGTGCAGAGCCAGGAGTAACCCCTGTGCATCGCCGGGTGTGACCCAAAAAGATGTGGCCTCTCCCCGTGACCGCGCTCTCACGCCCTGCCAGCCGCTGTGGCCGTGCTTCCTCTGCAGAGCGTGGGAACCCCATCAACGAAGGCCAAGTCCATCTCCCTGCTGGTGTTTGAACACGCCAGCTGAAGAGACGGCCCACCCTGCCCCGGGTCCTGCTCACAAGCACCCCGCACCCACACACGGCCCTGAACCACACCCTGCCTGATGGCCCGTCCACCCTGTCCCCCCCCCCCCCAACAGGGCTCCAGAGAAAGGCTTACAGAGGTCGGAGCCCTGGGCTGGACTCAAGCCTCGGATGAGACCCTTCCAACGTGGGGCCCTAGATTACAGTACGAGCCGTTTGACGGAAGTAAGAAGGGGACAGGACAGTGCCAGGGGCTCTGCACACATGGATGGCACAGGGCAGGGGCTCAGGCCCACCCAAAGCACACAGCTGGCCCAACTGAAGCACAGGCCAATCACAGCGACAATCATTCACCTGAAAAATGTGCCTGGGAAGAAGGCGGGCGGGAGTGGGTGGAACCTGGGTGCTGGGCTTCATGCTGAAACACTGAATGCCTCAAATGATAACATTAAAAATAAATTATCAAGCACAGAGCGGAAATTTAGAATTTTTATTGTAGCACTGCACTGTCCTCCCATTGTTCATGGATTTACTCAAGCGGGACCAGTAATGTCTCCATTGTGAAACTGCTACTGTGTTTGTGTGTTTGGCATATCGAATACGTCACAGGTAGCTTGCCAGGCTTTGCGGTGTGGGCGAGATACTCTCAGTAGCTTGCCGGGCTCTCTGAGAGGGGCGGAGGAATCGAACCCGGCTCGGCCAGGCTGGCTGCGCACAAGGCGAACACCCTACCACTGTGCTATCACTCTATGTTGTGTACGTGAGAGAGAGAGAGAGAGAGAGAGAGAGAGAGAGAGAGAGAGAGAGAGAGTGGAGAGACAGGCCTACAGTGGGGCATTTCTCTGGGACACTGCACACAACTTAGAACCAGAGCCAGCAGGCCCAGGCCAGCTGCACAGTTGGCCTGAGCTGGACCTGCCCCTTGGTGCATGTGGGCCCGATTCAGGGCCCTCCTGCAGTCTTAAGGGGAAGGCAGGCCTGGCCTGAGGCTGTCACTCCAGGGAGCCACTCTGAAGATCCATGACCTTTTTGTTTGTTTTCCTGGGCCACACTGGAGGTGCTCAGGGGTTATTCCACTCCTGGTGGGCTCAGGGAGTAACACGGGGTGCCCGAGATCGAACACAAGTCTGCCATGTGCAAGGCAAATGTCCTACCCACTGGTTATTGTTTTTTTGTTTTTGTTTTGGGTTTTCAGGTCATCCCAGCAATGCTTAGGCTTACTCCTGGCTCTATGCTCAGCAACTGCTACTGGTGATGCTTGGGGGAGACATATGGGATGCTGGGGATTGAACCCAGGTCGGCTGCAGGCAAGGCAAATGCCCTACCCGCTGCACTGTCCTTCGCTATTATTCTATTGCTCCAGCCCCGTGACCTTCTCACTGGGCCCCTTCCACAATTAGCACGAAGGAGCTGCCTCATCACTTTCCCCAGCTTCCAACCGGACTGCAAGGTGGTAGTCATGGAAACAGCACAGCCCAGAAATAAAAGACAGACCCTCGATCAAAGGAACAGCACGGAAGTCCCAGAGACAGACGCTCAGGTATGCATGCGGTCAGTTAAGCTTCGATAAAGGAACAAGATTAAAAAAAAAAAATGAAGTGGAACAAAGACAGCTCTGGGGGGGGGGGGGGGGTTGGAGGGTGGGGGTTGAGGAGAGAACACAACCCTGGCTCTGGCCCCCGCCCAGACAGACCTTGGTGTCCTCCTTGGTCTCGGTGTCGTCCTCGGTGGCGGCCTCGGCCATCTCCTTCAGGTCGGGCGCCTTGATCCCGTGCATGAGCTGAATGTGCTTCTCTAGCATCAGCCGTTTGGTGAAGGTGCGCCGGGAGTCGGGGCAGTGCCTGCAGGGCACAGGGGGGACACGGAGATAAGCCGAGGGCCTGGGGCCAGACCCCCACCCTGCGCCCCAAAGCAGGCTCGGCTCAGCGGGAGGAGCCCCGTTCCAAAAGTGCTTGGGCGCTTCTTCGAGCGTTTTCCTGCTTCTCCCACAGTGCATCAGTGCATGCTCGGCCCCAGGTGGTTGGAACCAGAACCTCGCTCCTCCGGGTCTGGGCCCAGACTGACTTCTGGGCTTGGGTTTTAGCATGCAGGGCCTTCCTCTCACGGCCGTGGCGGGAGATGCCATGGTCCAGCCTCCTGGGGCCAGTCTGGGGCCTGCGCATCCAGGGAGGGGGGTGCTGCAGTCTGGCCTCCCCCCGGGGGTTGCTGAGACAGGGAGGTGGGTTGCCCCGCCCCCCACCCCAAGGGAAGGTCCAAGTCTCTCACTTCCGGCTCTGCCTTATATGCTCACACATACACACACAAATAAAGAAGCCACTAGCAGGTTGAGAACGGGGCCCACTGGGCAAGAACAAGAGGCGGGGTTGCCTTCTTTTACAAAATGGGCTGGGAGTTGGAGCAATAGTACGGCGGGGAGGGATTTGCCTTGTATGCAGCCAACCTGGGTTCGATCCCTCACATCACACCTGAGTGCAGAGCCAGGAGTAACCCCCAAGCATCGCCAGGTGTGACCCAAAAAAATCCTAAATAAATAAATAAATAAAAATAAAACGGGTTGGGGTCACTGAGGGAGTGTGTGGGGTCAAGGCCCTGACCTTGTGTGCGGCTGACCCAGAACCTTGTGGTCCTCTGAGCACTGCCAGGTGTGACCCAAGCACCCCCGCCCTCTCCAAAGTAGAAATAAAAAACAAAAAGCGCGTAAACCAGAGGGAAGGCAGGAGGGTCTGGGCCCCCTGGAGAATAGCGGCAGGAGACTGGGTGCACCTCAGGCACTGCCTTGGGAACGTGGTGTTGAGGACTGACCCCAAGCCCCAGGGGCCACGGCCTCGCCCTCTGTGGGCAGCGTGGCACAGTCCTGCCTTGCGTGAGCTTCTCTCCCTGCCGCCACCTTCCTCTTCGTCCTGCACCTGCGATGCCCGCCAGGCCTTCCTCCTCCAGATCTGCGGCCAGAACCTTCTCTCTTGCTCCCTTCCCAAAGTCCCCTCAGCCCGACACTCCTACCCAGGCTCAACTCGGGCCACCTGCCACGCGGCTCACACCTGGCGTCCAGGTGGGCGTGGACACACCAAGTCCGGTGACGTAGCATCTCGTTCCTGTGCGTTTTAGCTGGGCACCCCGTTACTCCCACACACTCAAGGCAGGGCCGGCCGCCCATCACAGTCACGGTCACGGTCCTTCTGCTGTTCACTGATTTGCTCGAGTGGCCCAGTAACGTCTCCATCGTGAGACTTGTTATTACTGTGTTTGGCATATTGAATGCGTCACGGGGAGCTTGCCAGGCTTTGCCGTGCGGGCGAGATACTCTCGGTAGCTTGCCAGACTCTCCGAGAGGGGCGGAGGAATCGAACCTGGCTCAGCCGGGCCGGCTGCGTACAAGGCAAATGCCCTACCACTGTGCTATCGCTCCAGCCAGTCGCCCATGGAGGAAGAATTTCCCCCCAGAAAAGCTGCAAAGCCCAGGGCGGCACAACAGGGAGCCCACATGTCTGCTCCCGGCCCCGGCAGTGCAGGGGGACAGACACGGGGCCACCAGCACCGCGTCCTCTTGCCGCGTTCCCTGGCTGGGTGCCCGTGACTTACGAGCAGGTATAAACTTTCCTGATGCCTTTGTGCTTGATGCGGTTGTGTCGACACAGGCTGTGCGAAGAGCTGAAGGACTTGTCGCACTGACGGCACGGATGCTTCTTCATTTGCTGCAGCGAGAGCAGGAGAGAGGCCACGTGAGAGCAGCGCCGGGACAGAGGCAGTAGGAGAACAGCCACGTGAGCGCAGTGCTTGGGAGAATGGCCATGGGGGAAATGGCCACGTGAGAACAGCCCCAGGAGAACAGCCATGTGACAGCAGTGCGGGGAGGCCACGTGAGAGCAGCGCCGGGACAGAGGCCATAGGAGAACAGCCACGTGAGATCAGCGCCACGTGGGTGCAGCGCTTGGGGAATGGCCATGGGGAAACGGCCACATGAGAACAGCCACATGATAGCAATGCGGGGGGGGGGGGGAGGGGGGAGGCCACGTGAGAGCAGCACCGAGACTCCGATACCAAAGATTCCTCCGAACGGCTGGGATGACCCAGCCAGTGTTCCTAGAGAAGTGTAACAGAACTGGAAGAGGCTGAGTGTGTGTGTGTCCCAGTGCCTGTGGGGGGTGGATGCACATGTTTTAAGTGTGAGTCACCGAGTCCTCATGTGTGTGCGTGAGTCAGTGCGTGTGCGAGGGTGTGAGTGTGCGTGTACACACCTAATCAGTGTGTGTGCACGTCTGTGTCCTGGGCCGCACCTGGCGTGGTGCGTGTCACCCTGCAGGGCTGGGGAGCAAACTCTGGGCCTCCAGCACGTGCCCCAGTCCTCAGAGGCACCCCCTCCCCCTCCCGCCCAAATGTTAAGCAGCTGGACCTTTCCGGGCTGTGCTGTCCACAGGCCTTGTCTGTGTATGCACAGGGAGAGAGACAGGGAAGGTCACTCAGAATTCCAAGTCACGAGTTTCCCTCGTCAGCTGGGACATGCCCACGCCACTCCCTGGCCAAAGGTACCCCTTGCTCGGGGTACGAGATGGGGACAGGTGGTGCTGGCGGCCAGGGGGGCATTGAGGAGGCTGGATGAGTCTGAGGGAAGCCAACCCCAGAAGGGCTGCGAGCACCAGAAACGGGTGGTCTTTCCAAACAGCGCACACTCCCCGAAAGCGTGAGCGGCCCTTAGGTCCCCAAGGGTGTCCAGGTGCCCGGGGAGATGTGCGCACCAGGGCAGGGGCGCCCAGGAAGCCATGCAGAGCAGGAGCCCGCTTTGGGGGACAAGGGGGACCTAACACTTGCTGATACGGACTGCAACAACGAGGGGGGGGGGCGGTAAGTGAGCACGAAGAGGCGGCCAGTCGGGGCTGCGGCTTTGGGGGTGTGGGACCTGCCGGGCGGAGAGCAGCATTTCCCCGAGGGACAGGGGCGGGAGGACGGGGGACAGGAGAATGCTAGGGAGTGGGAAAGGGACTCATGGAGGCAGAGGAACAAAGGCCCAGCAGAGTGGGCAGTAAGGGGGCGATGGGGCAGTGACTTGGGGGTGTCCGGGAAAGGCAGCCAGTGGGGCGATGCAGGGCTCAAAGCGGGGAGAAAGGTAGAGGTGGGGTGGGGGGTGCCCCAGGCGCCGTGGCCCTGCCTGGTCCCGGGGGGAGGGGACCCGGCCCAGCCGTCCAGCAGCTGGGAACTTCCTCCCGCCTCCCCCGCTCCCCGCCTTCTCCCGGGAGGACTCGGGAACACGGCCCACACTGGAATCCAATCTCGGGGGGCCGGATTCCACGCGGCGGAGCTGCCTGCCCCCGCTTCAAACAGAATCTCAAACTGCAGAGCAGCCAAACGCCAACTCAGCAAAGAGGCGGCGCCGCGCCCGCACCCTGCATTCCAGGCGCGCGCTGTGCTGTGCGTGACACCTCCCACCAAGCGCCCCACGGGCCAAGCAGGAGCCCCCCTGCACAGCAAGAGCCACAGCGTACGTTGCCCCCGCCCACGCACGCGCCCGGCAGTTCCGCTCTGCATCCGCGTGGGCGCGCAGCTGCGAGGCAGAGTTCCACCCCATCCCAACGCAGCCTTTCCCCAAGCCACCGGCTCCTAGGCTAGGACCAGTCACTGTCCGCTGTGCAGAGAAACGCTGCTTTTTCACGACAGGCCAAGGATCGTGCAACGTTTTGAGACAGAAATCTCAGGGGTGCAAGATAGGCCAAAGGTCAGTAAGTGGGGCAGGAGCCTCAGGACAACGGGAAGGGCCCTTGGGACCCCGGTTCCACCCCCCACGGCAAGCTGCTGTTTCTCCTTTTAAAACAATAAGCGCAGGACACCACCATCCCCCTGCTTTTTGGGTTTTGTTTTTTTTTGGGTCACACCCTGCAATGCTCAGGAGTTATTCCTGGCTCTGCACTCAGGAATTACTCCTTGGCAGTGCTCTGGGGACCATATGGGACGTTGGGAATCGAACCCGGGTCAGCCGTGTGCAACACAAACGCCCTACCCGCTGTGCTATTGCTCCAGCCCCACATCCCCCTGCTTTTTAAAAATTATTATTGTTTTGCAAGGACCTCACCTAGCGAGCCTCAGGGGCTACTCCTGGCTCTGCACTCTGGAATTAACTCTGGGCGGTGCTTGGGGGACCATATGGGATGTCGGGGAATCGAACCCAGGTCGGCCGCGTGGAAGGCAAACAGTCTACCCGCTGTGCTATCACTCGGGCCCCTCCAGGCTTATTTTTACAAAAAGAGAGAGAGAGAGAAGCATGTTGCAGGCAAGTCCTACAAATGCTACCAGAATTTTTCCAAACATTCACGTTCTCTTTTCCTTATTTATCTAAAGGCTAAACATGAAGGTTCAAATGTTTTAGATGCCAGAGTAACAGCAGAGCAGGTAGGACCCTTGCCTTGGATGTGGCTGACCTGGTTTCAACCCCTGGTACTCGCAGATGACCCCCAGTCCCCATCAGCAAGGATCCCTGAGCGCACAACTAGAAGTAAGCCTTTAGCACTGCAGAGTGTGCCCCCCCCCCCCCCAAAAAAAACCCCAAGGGGCTGGAGCAGAAGCACAGCGGGTAGGGCGTTTGCCTTGCACGCAGCTGGCCCGGGTTTAATTCCCAGCATCCCATATGGTCCCCTGAGCACTGCCAGGAGTAATTCCTGAGTGCAGAGTCAGGACTATCCCCTGAGCATCGCTGGGTGTGACCCAAAAAGCAAAAATAAATAATAAATAAATTTTAAAATTCAAATGTTTTTAACTGTAGTTCATGTTCCCTGGTCACAAAGACAAGGTGGACAGCGATCTTATGTCCACCTTGGAGGAGGCAGGGGGAAGCAATGACGAGCAAAACCGCCCAAGAGAGAGCTGGGAGGACGTGCGTGGCCCCCGGGGTGCGGCCGGGCACTCACCTTCCCGTGCTCCTTGCGCACGTGTGAGATGTAGACATCCCTCTGCGTGAAGAGGCGGTCACACTCCCAGCACGTCCACCCGGGGCTGGCCACTTTCTTGGGCTCCAGGGACTTCTTCACGGGCGACGGGGACTTCTTCTCCAACTTCTCCTTCCCATTCACGGGCCGCGCGTCCTCCTTGCTGGGCGCCGCCGAGTTCGGCGTGGTGGGCTTGATGCTGAAAGGCAGGTTAATGCCCAGGTTGGGAGGCCCCTCGATGCTCTTCAGCGTGCCGTGCATAGACTGTGTCGTACATAAGGAAAGGAGAGCGTGTCACAAATCACTGTGGGAGCACCAGACTGCACCGTGGGGCGGCGGGCACAGGCCCTCACGGCCCGAGGTCTCGCTCCTTTCTCTCTGCTCCCCCTCTGCTCCCCCCATATGTTAAGTTTGGGATGGTCTGATCCTCAGGCCCTAATGTTTTCATTCACCACGTTTTAGATTTTCCTGATCATTGAAACAAATGTTTTTCCTTTATTTTGGTTAAAGAACTGTAGAATTGCGGAACACACCTTTCCGGATGCTCAAGAGGACGGCGTGTGCCCCACAGAAACGGGGACCCCCATGTGAGCTCGTGGCCTGGCCACGTACCCTGGGCAGGGCTGGCGGAAGCCAGATGTGCTCTCTGAGTGCCCACCCCTCACGGTGCATTAAAAAGGGAGCGAGACGGCCACTTCTGCAGCCGCGCGACATCCTATGTTTATTCGTAACCAACAATAGAAATAAAATTGTCTACTGTTGCCTTTTCGGCAGATCTGAGTGTTGGGGTAAAATCCCAAATAATAATGGTGGGTCTGGTGTCTAAATATTGAATGTGATCAAAGTAGAGAGAGAGTAATGTGGAAATCATCTGCCCCACAGGTAGGGGGAGGGTGTGGGATGGAGAGTATACTGGGGTTTTTGGGGGTGGAGAATGGGCACTGGTGAAGATATGGGTGTTTCATTGCATGACTGAGACTTAAACCCGAAAACTTTGCAACTGCTCTCATGGTGATTCGATAAATAAAATTATAAAAAATGGAAAAAAAAAGTAAGGTGCTCAATTCAATCAGCCTACTCAGTGGCTGAATAAATAGTAGTACTCCTACATAAAAAAAAAAAAAGAAAGAAAGAAAGAAAGAAAGAAAGAAGGGGGGGAGCGAGAAAGGACCCCCACCCTCCCCCGCGGTGTGAGGCAGTTCAGCCGAGCCTGTGAGCACTGCTGCCGGGTACCAACCCCCTGGGCACACAAGGACAACACTGTGAAGCCAGGGCAGCGGGCACTCCAGGGGCTGCGGCCACACTCTGTCCTGAGCTTGGAGAAGAGGCAGGAAACAAGGCGGGGCAGCCCGCTGGGAGGCGCCGCGAATCAGCATCCAAAGAGGACCCTGACTCGTCCGCTGGGCCTAATGCCCGCCCAAGAGTCCAACACCTCGGCGAGAGGAGAAGACCAAGGGGTCCGGGGGCAGCAGTCAGCACCCTAGCTCGCCGCTTCGGTACTGCCAGGGGCGGAGTGGCAGGGCAGGGGGCTGGGCACTGGCCTGGCTCAGTCCCTAGCACCGCTTGGAATGACCCCACAGGACAGAGGCCGGAGGCAACCCTGAGCACAGCCGGGAGTGGCCCTCAGACAAAAATCCCACTCATTTCAAAGCAAAGACCTTGACTCTCTAATACACTGTTAATATAATCTGCCATCGTCCCCATTGATTTCTAAAGTCCCATAAAATCGTCTAGGCTCTGAAAATAAAATAGTAATTGTCACTGTCACTGTCCTCCCGTTGTTCATCGGTTTTTCTCGAGCGGGCCCAGTAACGTCTCCAGTCAGCAGATTCACATGAAGGCAAAAATAGAACCGCAATGATGGCTTATTCTTTTATTATTTTGGGGGCCATGCCCGCCTGTACTCAGGGCTCAGGGGAGCATGAGGGGTGGCAGGGATCAATCTTAGTCGGCTGCGTGCCAGGCCAAGGCCCTACCTGTTGTCCTACCTGTCTGGTCCTGGACTTGTTTGTCAATTTGGGGGCTTTAGGGCCATACCTGGTGGTGCTCAGGGCTTACTCCTAGCTCTGTGCTCAGAGATCTACTCCTGGGGATGCTTAAGGAACCATATGAGTGCCAGGGATCAAAGCAGGGTCGGCCGCATGCAAGACAAGTGCCTGACCTTGTACTGTCACTCTGGTCCTGGCTCCCTCTGTTATTTTTATTTTAATTTTCAAAATTTTTTTAATGGGGGGGGGGGACGGCTGGAGCAATAGCACAACAGGTAGGGCGTTTGCCTTGAGATTCCCAGCATCCCATAGGGTCCCCCGAGCACCGCCAGGAATAATTCCCGAGTGCAGAGCCAGGAGTAACCCCTGAGCATTGCTGGGTGTGACCCAAAAAAGAAAAAGAAATTAAATTTGGGGGGAGGATCACACCCCGCTGTGCTCAGGGGACCACAGCGGGTGCCAGGGGCCACACCCGGTCAGCCGTGTGCCAGGCGAACAGGGGCCCTCCCTGCTGTCCTTTCCCTCCGGTCGGGGCTTCCTGTTAACCACAATTTCCAGCCAGGCGTGTGCGGGACCCGCCCGGCGCCACGCACCTTGATGTGATCCATCATGAGTTGCTTCTGCGCGTAGAGGAGGGAGCAGTCGGGACACTTGAACACGGACACCTTCTGGTTCTCGATGTGCTGGTCGAAGTGGCGGTAAAGCAGCGTCTGCAGGGTGAACACGGTGTCGCACATGGAGCACTTGTAGATGATTCTAGGAGAGAAGGCGGCGGGGGGCCATCAGCCAGGGGCCGCCGGGATGGCAGGGAGGCAGAGACAGAGCAGCCCCGGCCGCTTCCGGATCCCTCTGCACCCGAGACATTCTGGGGGCACCCTGGAGATTCGCGGAGGGCACGGGTGCAGGCAGCAGAGAGAAACGGACTTCACAATGCAGTTCCTCTTCCCACTTCTCTTGGGAGAGTCAGTTCCTGGCGGTGCTCAAGGGACTGGATGCAGGGTCAGGATTCGACCCTGGGTCAGGACCCACTGCAAGCCAGGCGCTTTAACCCCACACTATATCTTGAGCCCCATGACGTTTCCTGACTTTGTATTTGAGAGGTTTTTTTTTTTTTTTTGGCTTTTGGAGTCATACTTGGAAGTGCTCAGAGGTGAGATGTTCCGATCCTTCTTTCTCCTCCCTACCCAGACCCTTTCGGGGTCCCTCCTGCCCAGCTGGTCTGAGGACCTGACTGGAGGGTCTGTGCTGCCTTCCAGACCCTCCGCCTTTCCTCCCTGTCTCCCTCCTTCCTCTGGGGCCGTTCCCACCAGGCCCCAGGAGCTACATTCCTGGATGTCGCCCCCGCCAGCTGGGTGGTTCTTGCTGCCTTTGCTTGGGGAAAAATTGACTGCAGGTGTTGTTGTGGGTTTTGTCCTGTTTTTTTTTTTTTTTTTGGGGGGGGGGGGGAGTCTCACCCTGGCAGTGTCTGGGGACTAGCTTGTCCTCCTCGTGCTAGGGCTGATCCTGAGCCTACTGAAGGTGAAACTATGCCCGGGTCTGAGCTCCCAGTGAATCTTTCCCCCTAGACGCTGAGCCCTGGGTCTTCTCCATCGGTCAGTGTGTTTCAGTCGGTTTGTGGCCACACCCAGCAGTGCTCAAGGCTGACTCCTGGCAGGGATGGGGGGTGTAGCTCACCATATGGGGTTGCCAAGTTGCCAAGAACCTGGGTTGGCCGCGTGCATGGCAAGTGCCCTGTCTGCTGTACTATCACTCCACCCCCCCACCCCCCCCAATCCACTTCATTCTGAGGATCTGTAAAGATCAGAATGAAGGCTCCACTACACTAAAATTCCACTGTGCCGGAGCTCTGTAGGACAAGAGCCATTTCTATACCATCTGTCTAGGTTTGGTGGCCACACCCAGCAGTACCGGGGGTGCCGAGAACAGAACGTGGTGGGTGGTCTGCACACAAAGCCTGCCTTCCAGCCTGCTGGGCGCTCTGCCAACGTCTCCCCCAAAGACAGTGCTGAAGTGGGGGCTGGAGCGATAGCCCAGCAGGTAGGGCGTTTGCCTTGCACGCGGCCGACCTGGGTTCAGTTCCCAGCATCCCATATGGTTCCCCGAGCACCGCCAGGAGTAATTTCTGAGTGAAGAGCCAGGAGCAACCCCTGTGCATCGCCAGGTGTGACCCAAAAAGAAAAAAAAAAAAAGACAGTGCTGAAGTCAAACCTAGCAAGACCTGCTGCGAGTTACCTTCTCCCTAAGGCCTCCTCTGTGACTATGTGCGCGCTTTGGGCAAAAACGCCCCCAGAGCCAAGGGCTGGGGAGCTTCCTCACAGGATGATGCCAGCCCACGTCGGCACCAAGAGGAATAAACAGATCCTCACAGAGCCCCTGAGCCAGCGCCGGAAGGAGGGAAGCAGGGCAGGAGCTAGCGCAGCACAGCCCGGCGGCCACGCCTCCTCCCTCCCTCTCGGCCTCCTTCCACCAGCCCTGCCCACACGAGACAAGGCTGAGTCTCCCGATGCGGGGGCATGGACACTGCCCACGCACCGGCCTCTGCGGGCAGCCCCCAGCCGTCTGCTCACGTTCATCAGCAAAGACTCAGCTGACCCACGCAGAAACGGACCAAACGCAGAACACGTCGGAGGCAGGAAAACGAAATTTTTCTTTTCTCATTCAAGACCTGAGAGCAGCTGGGGCTGGAGAGATAGCACAGCGGGTAGGGTGTTTGCCTTGCATGCGACCGTCCCGGGTTAGATTCCCAGCATCCCATATGATCCCCTAAGCACTGCCAGGAGTAACTCCTGAGTGCAGAGCCAGGAGGAACCCCTGTGCATCGCCGGGTGTGACCCAAAAACAAAAATAAAAAAAAAGACCTGAGAGCAGCTACAAAGCCATCACCTGATGTACCAGATCTCAAGCTAACTTCAGATTTAAAAAAAAAAAAAAAGTCGTTACTGGGTAAATGGTATTTCTGTAAGGAAGAAGCTATGGAGAAATTGGAAGGTGCCGGGGGAGGGGGGGGCAAGGTCTAAGTTTTTTGGGTCATTCCCCCCATGCCCTGAAACAATCTCCTAGAATTTACTTGATAAAAATCCCATTAAGAACAAACTCTGGGATAGAGCGATAGTGCAGCGGGTAGGGCATTTGCCTTGCACATGGCTGACCCGGGTTCGATTCCCAGCATCCCATATGGTCCCTTGAGCACCCCCAGGAGTGATTCCTGAGTGTGAAGCCAGGATTAGGGCTGAGCATCGTCAGGTGTGGCCCCAAACCCACCCTCCCCATGCCCCAATCCACACACACACACACACACACACACACACACACACACCCCAAAGCCAAGGGCTGGAGGTCCACAGGAGGTCAGGCCTGGCAGGCGGCCTCATCGGCCCCAGCCCTGGTTCAAATCCCCAGCACCATCTATGGTGCCACTGGGCCAACTCCTCAACACAGAGCCGGGGACAGCCCGAGGACAGCCAGGTCTGGCCCCCAAACCAAAACAAATGAACAAAAAACAAACCAAACAAAAATAATTATCACTTGTTCAGCAAAACAGATGCCGGAGTACATGGAACAGGCAACACCCGTGGACAGGTTGTCACGGGGACCGGGCCAAGGCGCCTGCCCCTCCCCCGCTCCCCACCCTCAGCCCCCTCCACGAGCACCCCGCTCCCCACCGTATCCATCTCCCCCCACTCACTTGGGCTCTCCGATCTTGATGCCCGGGTGCTGCGTATAGGCGTGGGAGTGGGTGCTGGGCGCGGACTTGAACGCCATCGGGCAGATGGGGCACTTGTAGAAGACCTCGCAGTGTGAGCCCTGGATGTGGGACTTGAGGGCGGCCACGTCCGAGTACACGACGTTGCAGTGCACACACCTGCCAGAAGCGGAAGCAGGAGCGTGAGCAGCGGCCCCCACGCCCTCCCGACCCCCGCAGGGGCCCAGCGGCTTTGGGGGCGGTGTGTGCCTTGATCTATTTTGTTTTCCTCCTATGGGTGACACATAAAGGGTTTTTTTTTGGTTTGTTTGTTTTTGTTTTTTTAAGTAAAACGAATTTTATTGGAGGTTTCTGGAAGGAGAGGAAGGAAGGAAAGTGAGAGAGAGAGAAAGAGAGAGAGAGAGAGAGAGAGAGAGAGAAATGCGCTCCAGCGAGAACGCAGGCTTCTCTGAAGGCAGAGGGAGCCCCTACACACAGCCCAGCATCAGACACGGAAGCATGAAAAAGCACATGTCTCAAGAGGGGGGATGCGGGCGACACACGTGCTCGGCCACGAGGGCACACGCAGCACTTGGGCTTGGGCGGCAAACGCGCTTGACACGTAGTTTTACGTAGCCAAGAAGGAAGATCGCAAAGAAAGAGTAAAACTCTCAAGGTTCATTCTGTTGTTGCTTTCTTTATTTCTTGACCATCTTTCAAGCTTCTAGAAAACCCATGAAGGCTTCAGATGGTGGGGAGAAGAGAAGATAATGGACACCAGCTCGAGATCAGGGAAAGGGTCCATAAGCACTTGGGACACCCCTGGCTGGGTGCTGAGGGACCCTGCCCCCAAACGTCATGGCCAAGGGTGGGAACGTCCACTCTCTGCACCTCTGCCATGGGCCCAGGGGCGGAAAGCAAGCTGGACTGCTGGTGCCAATGCAGTGGGTCAGTGGACACCGCAGGCCACGACCACCGAGATGGGCTGTCTCTGGGAGGTGACGTGTGTGGCCGGCTCAAAACAGTCGCCACCTCGGAGGACACGGACGGCCTCCCGCGAAGCACCCGAGACCCGAGTGTCCGTCCCTGGGGTCTGGTCCTGATAGGAGAACCTTGGAAGCTAGAACATCTCTCCTGGTCTCGCCGCTCCCCGGCAAGGAGCCCCCGTGCTTTCAACTCTGCCTTCCAGTGCCAGGGAGCACCCGGGAGATTTTGGGGTGTGTCTCCCAGGCACATACCTGCAAGCATTTGACGGATGCAGATGGTGCTACAGACGGACGGGGCTCGAGACTGGGTGTGCAAGCCTAGACACTCCCCTCTGCCGAAGGGAGCCAGGGACAGAGCCGCATGGGGCCGCCAGCTCTTCCACACACAGAGCCGCATCCCCGTACCTGCTGGGGAATGCGATCGGCCCACCGAGTGACCGGCAGCCCGAGGTCCAGCGGCTGAGACGTGAGCCAGAGCTGATAATGGCGGGGGGCAGGGGAGCAGGAAACCGTCTACGGCCTCACTCAGCCCTGCGCGGAGGCAGGCGCCGGCAGACGGAAACAGATGGTCGCCAGGGAAACGCGACATCGAGATGCAGAAAAGACGTTTCCCTGCCAGGGCAGGAACGCGGCAGCTGAAGGTCATGAGGACCAAGGAAGGGCGGAAGGGGGCCTGGCGGGAGAGGAAGCTGAGGGCCAGAGAAAAAGGACCCGGGGAGAAACGTGGGTGAGGGAGGTGGCTCGGGGCGCGGCAGACGGAACCCGAAGGCCCCGGGAGAGAGGTCGCAGAGGACAGACGGGCTGGGAAGTGAGGAAGGATGCAGAGAGGCTGAGCCGGTATATGGAACAGCAAGTTCAAGAGCCACGGGCCAGCCGGACAGCGAGGGCTGGAGGTTCCCTCCAGAGCTCAAACTCCTCCACAGACACGACAGTTTTTCTGTCCCAGGGGCCCCGCCAGCTTCTTTTTCCAATTAAAAAAGGAGAAAAATCAGGCCAGAGTGACAACAGTACAGCGGGGAGTGTGCTTTCCTTACACACAGCCAACCTGGGTTCGATCAGGAGTAACCCCTGAGCATCCCCAGCATCTCATACGGTCCCCTGAGCACCGTCAGGAGTGAGTCCTGAGTGCAGAGCCAGGAGTGAGGCCCGTGCATCATTTGGGGTGTGGCCCCGAGACAGCAACAAAAAGTGCGTAGCCTACAGTATCGGGATTCCCCTTCCTGGACGCAGAGACAGGGCTCTCAGGAAGCGGAGAAAAGCGGAGGAGGGTCTGACTTGAGAGAGAGAGGCCAGGGCTGGAGCGATAGCCCAGCAGGTAGGGCCTTGCACATGGCCAACCCAGGTTCGATCCCCGGCATCCCATAGGGTCCCCCGAGCACGACCAGGAGTAATTCCTGAGTGCAGAGCCAGGAGTAACCCCTGAGCATCGCCGGGTGTGACCCAAAAAGGAAAAATAAAAAACTAAATAGAGAGCGAGGCCTCGCTACCTGGGAACCCTAATGGAGTTGGGGAGATGCACCGTGTCCCATCCAGGCTAGACAGGGAACTGCAAAGGACCAAGCGCAGAGCCCAAATGGGTGGAGAACCAAGCAATGGGGTGCTAGTGCCCCAAATGCCAGGCTCGACAACTATTTCAAATGGTGGGGTGGGGGGCTGGAGCAATAGCACAGCAGGTAGGGCGTTCGCCTAGCACGCACCGACCCAGCATCCCATATGGTTCCCTGAGTACCGCCAGGAGTAATTCCTGAGTGCAAATCCAGGAGTAACCCATGTGCATCACCAGGTGTGACCCAAAGAGCAAAAAAAAAAAAAAAAAAAAATGGTGGGGTGGGAGAGGGGAGTACGGAAAAACTATTTCTCCTCACCAAAAGCAGTGAACGTGAACAGAGCAACAGAATATCCAAGGCTGGAGAGACAGGAGGGTGGGCAGTCTCAAAGGGCACTTGCTTTGAACATGGCCAAGCAGGGTTCGATCCCTAGCATCGCATGCGGTTCTCCAAGCCCTGCCAGGAGTGATCCCTGAGCACAAAGCCAGAGGAAGTCCTGAGCACCTCCGGCAGTGGTCCAAAAAATTCACACAAAAAGAAGAAACAGGCAGAATATTTATACAGCCCTTTTAAGTGTGAAATCCAGGGAGGAAATCTAGACTAAACGTGAAAATTCCTGCAAAAATTCAAAGCAGCAAATCTGAACCACTGCGAGCGAGGGGAGAGTGGGCTGGGTCCCAGGAGGACCCTCCGTGGGGTTGGTCCGCTGAGCGCCTGCCCCCACTCAGAAGAGGCCCGCAGGCGCCGGCTCTCAGCCGCCTTGCTTCCTCTGTTCATTCCAACCCGAGCTCGCTTTTACTTTAGTAGAAAAATAAACTGAACATCTGAGAGAAGTTTGGCATGGGTTAAAAGAACAGCACCAGGAAAATGGTTGCAAACTGCTCCCTGCGATTAGACAAAGAAACCAGTGGCACGTTTCCAAGCCCACAGCGAGAATCAGGATCCCAACCCCACCGGGAACAGCCGTGGCACCCCCAGGGCCCCCGGAGCCCACACTGAGACTTTCCACTTTATTCCACAACAGTCGGGTGTCACCGGGCCAGGCACCGGCCACTCTGAAGACAGGGGCACCACGGCACGAACAGAAGGACAGAATACACTGTTCACACCTGATCGGAGTGAGAGCAGGGGCCACAAAACCCAGTTTCCTCAGTATCCAAACCCCAGGTCTTCCCTGAGGGCCGTTCCCAATCCAGGGAATCTTGGCATTTTGGGGGTTTGGAAGCGTAAGAAAAGCACATGCCAAGGCCAGGAGCCACCTGGGAATGCAATGAATCATCACCTTGATTGGAGGAAAATGAACTCACACCAACAAGACGTACTTCCACAAAACATCAGAATGCTGAGACCCCGAAGGGGGAAAAAAAACAAAACAAAATAGTATGAAGGGTCCGAGATGGCCAGGCCACCAACACGCAAGAGACAGCACCCGCTTTGGGAGCAGAGGCCCAGGGCAGTGAGGTGGGTCTCGGCGACCAGAAACCTGCAGCGGGGAAGGGGAGGATGTCCAGGGCCCCAAGCAGGAGCTGAAGATCCCGCTTTGAGCTAGCCAGACCAACGTGAGACCTGCCACGTTGGTGCTGGAGGAGTACACACGCCCAAGAAGCTTCCAGAGAGGCGAGAAGAGCTGGGACAAGGGGAGGAGGTGGAAGCCAGGCTGCGTGGGGAAGGGGGAGCGGGGAACGGTTCCTTGGGGCACTTCCGGGGAGAGCGATGTCAGAGCGATGCCCTCCAACACGACGGGGGCCTCGGTGAAGGGGGTACAAGTGCGCTCTCACAAGCACTGAGATCCAGAGAGCTGTGTGTGTGTCCATTTGTGTGTCTGTGTGTTCTCACAGGCACTGGGACCCAGAGAATGGTGCATGTGTGTGTGTGTGTGTACCCAGAGTGTGTGTGTGTGTGTACCCAGAGAGTGTGTGTGTACCCAGAGAGCATGTGTGTGTGTGAGATGTGCGTGCTTGTACACACATGCGTGTTCTCACAGGCACTGGGACCCAGAGAGCTGTGTATGTGTACCCAGAGTGTGTGTGTCTGATGTGTGTGTGTGTACCCAGAGAGCGTGTGTGTCTGATGTGTGTGTGTGTGTGTGTGTGTGTGTGTGTGTGTGTGTGTACGCATGCGCATGCACGTTCTCATAGGCACTGGGACCCAGAGAACGTGTGTGTATGTGTGTGTTGTGTTTGTCTGTGCGTGTGCTGCGCATGGACAGAGGAAAGACTTCTCGATGGGTCCATCAAAGAGACTCTGCCCCCATCTCCAGGTGGCTTGGGGGTGGTGGGGGGGAGTCGCCGTGCTGTCCCTCCCCACCCCTGCCCCAGGATCCCGGCGCCGCTGGGCTACTCACCGGAAGCCGACTCTGCGCGTGTAGTGCAGGCAGTTCTTGGTGACGTGCGTCTGGAAGTGCACCGACCTGCAGATGGCCCCGCACTCGGGGCAGGTGTAGGGAGATTTGTGCTGATGGATTCTCTGGTGGGAGGCGAAGCTGCACTGGTTAGGGAGCAGCATCTGGCAGACAGTGCAAGTCTTCTAGACAAACCAAAGGGGAGACAGGGTTGGTCCTAGGAAGTGTCGTTCGGGACGTAAAGAAGCTTCGTTAGAACTCGCAGCCAGCCAACCCGGCCCCTCGCCCACGCGGCCGCCACCCGACTCGAAGCCCCGGGGTTCAAGCGACCTCTGCAAGGGCAACAGGAAATCCTGAAGGACCCGTTGGTGTCCCAAGTGGTCACCCCAGAGTACAGGGGCCGCAGGCAGACGCCTTTTTGGTCCCACCTGACTCTGGATTAGCGCCAAGCAGGAGGACGAGGGGGGTGGGGGCGGGGGGCCCTTGCCATTCAGGGTGGCGGGCCAACCTCACCTACACCAAGTAAGGGCATCTGTTGGGACGGCAGTGACAGCCCCACACCTCGGCCAAAATCAAACCGACTTTCCTCGAAATGAAATGAACCAGGGAGCAGTCCCATTTGGTGTTTTGGTTTTTCTCTAGTCTCGCCCATCCATTACAAGAGGCCTCAGCTAGAGGAATTCCAAAGCTCGGTCACAGACATCAATTGCCTCCCCGGCACTTGATTTCTCTTTACACAGTCAAGGGGCTGGAGCGATAGTACAGCAGGGAGGGCGTTTGCCTTGCACGCGGCTGACCAGAGTTCAAATCCCGGCATCCCATATGGTCCCCTGAGCACCGCCAGGAGTAATTCCTGAGTGCAGAGCCAGGAGTAACCCCTGAGCATCACCGGGTGTGACCCAAAAAGCAAAACGAACAATAAACAGGTCAAACTGACCCATACATGACTGGTAACTACAACTGATCGACTCGAGTTCAGATCCACACATTTCAGCACCAAGCTGGGCCTCGGGGAGCTTAAAGAACTGATCCCGTGGGTGCCATATGGCTGAGCACCCGGGAATGGCTCATGCATGTGATTTTCACTCACCGCTGGCCTTGAAGCACTGAATAATACAGCATCGTTTGAAACACCAAAACAAAACTCTCAAATATAAACCGAGAACGCTCAACCCACAAAATAACCCCAATACGGCAGCTGATATAAATGTGTTTTGAGTACTACTTAAACATTCACGTAACAATGGGTATCTACCACCTTCCAAAATACACAATTTGTTGTGGAGTTCACTAAAGAAAGCCAAGATACAGAGCTTGCCTAAGACTGAAAATAAATGTATTGACAATGGAGTAAGAAAAAAAATATTTTTAAATACTTTTTATCCTCTCGGCGTTTTGAATTGTACCCCCAAATTATTGTTTAAATTTTCAATCAACTTAAGAAAAACAAAAACTCACTTGAGAAGATTCTCTCTTAGTTTTCTCCTGAAAGGACTGAAAGATGAATTTCATCCCATAAAAATGTTTATTACAATCACAAAATAAGAACATGACAGGCAGCTTTGAGGAGGTCATCTAGCATCATTAAAAATACATTCCTTTTCTAATAACATATATTCCCAAAGATTATAACAAGCCGCAACAAGGAAACCAGTCAACAGATGCGTTAATTATAAGATCCTGCTGGCATCCACATTATCACAGGTAGGCATTCGTCCCTTTGAACTCAAGTCTTCTATTTGCTTCCCCACATACTCATTAATCCCAGGCAGAGAATTACAATGTCTGAATTTCCACAAGCCTCTTTAAAATATGTATTTCTGGGCTGCTCTTCAGTAAACGTACTCTCAAACACTCTCTGCACCACTAAGATGAAACCAGTACTAAATAACCGTCTCCCTCTCTCTCCTATTTTCTCTCTCTCTCTCCCTCTCTCTCTCTCTCCCCTCCTCCTCTTCCCTCCCCTTCCCCTAGTACTTGAGCACATTAATCCTGACATCGCTTGCCAAGGGTACACACTCAGCTCAGAACGACCAATGGTCTCCATACTACAGAGTAGGGCACTTGCCTTGCATGAGGGCCAACCCAGGGGGAAGGGGATGTGCGAGGCAGGGGGTCCATCCCCGGCATTCCATATGCTCCCCTGAGCCTGCCAGAAGAGATTCCTGAGTGCAGAACCAGGAGTGAGCCCTGAGCAACCCTCTGTGTGTTTGGGGGGGGGGGGGGGGGGGAGGGAGGGCCCTCAGGCAGCTTAGAGCAAACTCCCCTGCACGAGTGTTGCCTAAAAGTTGGAGGCAGAGACAGCTCTTGTGGCCTCTGTAATGCGGACATGCAGAAATGGCTGAAGACAGGCTGGTGGGTGGAAGGATTTTCATCCTGACGGGTCACTGAAACACACCCGGGACCTACTCAAGAGAGCTTCCGCGAACCACTCGGGGGTCTTGTACAAACAAAGGCCAAGATGCCAGTGTGTCAGTGAGAAATGATGAGGCGGGGAGGCCCAGGGCTGTCTGCAGCCCCAAGGCCAAGGCCCAAGCCTCCACGCTCCGGGGGCAGGGGGCTGTGCGGGCAAGGGCAGGTGCCCTGGCCTCCTGGATCCTGGTGTGGTGACCTCAGATCTCCACAAACACATGTGCCAGAGGAGAGACAGCAGTCCCTGCCTTCTGCTTGCTGATCCCATTTCAGATGACACGTTCCAGGAGGGCAGAGACCCATATCCACATGGGGTCCAACGGAGAAGGTCCCGCCAGCCTCTCTGGACTCGGGGAGTCTGGGGCGATGTCGCTTGGAGGCGATGTCACTTGGGGGCCGTCTAAGCTCACGGACAGGTCAGGACTTCCCCGCCGTCTGTTTGTTTGTTTTTACGCTTTATGGGTCACACCCAGTGATGCTCAGGGGTTACTTCTGGCTCTGCACTCAGGGGGTGCTCAGGGGACCCTATAGGATGCTGAGGATTGAACCCGGGTTGGCCGTGTATACGGCAAACACCCTACCCGCTGTGCTACCGCTCCAGCCCAACGCCGTCTGTTCTTAATCCGAGAGCTCAGCTACATGCCGGAAACCCTTAGCCCTTCGACTGCGCAAGCTGAGGCCACTTACAGAGAGGACAGCTGCACAGTGCAGCCAGGCCGGCCCCAGAGAGCAGGCTGCAGGGTAAGGCGCATGTTGGCAACACTTGACGCGGGCCTCCTGAACATGGGTGTTTTAAGGGCTAGAGGAAGAAGCACCTTAGCCCTACTCTGGGGTGAAAGTAAGATGCCTTCGCAACAGCCAGGCCCCAGCTCCTCCCATTCCATCTTCTGACCTGAAGTGGACCCTAAGACCCAGGGTTTAGCCTTTGTTCTGTTGTGATGGTTTGTTACTCACTTCAGTGCTCAGGGATTGCTCCTCCAGTGCTTGGGCGGGGGGGGGGGGGGGGCGCGCCTGGTAAAGGGGACGGGATCCATGCACCCTACATATAACACCGTGCATGTAACATGTGTGCTCCAGCCATTGAGCAGTTCCTGTGGCAGGTGTGGAGGAAGTGGACGAGGGGTCCCTGGACATCCCTCTGAAGGGCTCGGACAGGGCTTACAGACGGCAGACCTGGTCCGGGCACCGTGGTCAACGGTTCTCCGGGTTTCTGGTCCTCTGGGAAAGAGGCAAAGAGCCTGGGCAGGTAGGTATTAGCAGGGAGGATGAGCCGGGCAGGAGACCTGGGAGGAAGCAGAGGACCCACTGATGCTTAAATTCCCAACAGCCCCAGAGCGGGCAACAGCCTGAAACATTTGATCGAAAGGTCACGTCTGTGCCCGCCTGACTGTCAGCCCAGATGCTTGACTGTCTGTGCCTGGTTAACAGCCGGCCCGTCATCTTCTACCTACAGTCTAATTACCAAAAATAACAACAGCAATAAAGGGCACCTCTTTGCTTTCTGCCCTTCCCTTTCATCCGATTTCACAATGGCAACGTGGAGACAGCCTGTCACTGGAATAAAACGGCACCCGCCTCACAGACGGGCTTTCTATACCTTTTGTTCCCCGCGCGGGTTGGCAGGGGCAGGCTTCAAACCCTTCTGTCGCACTGAAAAATCCCTAACGAGGGCTGACAGCTAAATGAGCAAATCTGCAGGGTGCCAGGGCAGACGCATATAATCCACCCGGAAAATCACTGGGCCATAAATGAAGGGTTCGAAGCATGAACGGACAAACTGAGCCAGGCCTCGTCTGACCAAAATTAAAATTATGTGCTTAGGGGGAACGGGGTTGGAGCGATAGCACAGCGATAGGGCGTTTGCCTTGCGCGCAGCCAGCCTGGCCGAGCCGGGTTCAATTCCTCCGCCCCTCTTGGGAGAGCCCGGCAAGCTACCAAGAGTATCTCTCCCGCACGGCAAAGCCTGGCAAGCTCCCCGTGACGTATTCGATATGCCAGACACAGTAACAAAGTCTCCAATGGAGACGTTACTGGGCCCGCTTGAGCAAATCAATGAACAACGGGAGGACAGTGTTTGTTTGTTTGCAAGGGAACGGGACCAGAAAACCCACAGCCAGAGTCTGCAGCGAAGGGGCCAGAGGCTGCCCGAGCAAGCGGGCAGGTGCACAAGGGGCCAGGCTGGGACTCAGTCACTACCTAACAGGAGGTTGGTAGGTTCGTGCCACGTAGGAAGTTCTAGAAGCCGTAGGAAGGAAGCACCCTCTGCAGCTAAGTCCCCGTTGACTGCACCCCAGAAGCTGACCCGGAGGTGATCCCCAGGGGTCATTTTTCTAAGAATCTGCTTATGAGAAGACGAAAAGGCAATTGCCCCAAGATGAAATCACTTACGCTAAGCACCATGACAGCCAGCTGAGACAAAAAACAACTGCATGGGGCACCCCAGAGGGAGGACAGGCGGGAGCCCTCCCCGCCCCAAGGGACCCAGCCCCAGCAGCCAAAAACCTCAAGAACCCAAGCACCGCCATGCTCAAGACCGCTCTCCACAAGCTCGGGCCGAGCCTCATGCACGAGTGAACCTATTCCTGGACCACTCAGGGGGCCGCGACACATAAGATACACCCTACCCATAGACTAGAGTACCACATTACATTTGATGGGGTTCAAATAGTAGGCAACAAATCATAGAGGGAAATATACACACATATATACATATATGTTTGCATATATATATGAAAGTTGGGCTGGAGCAATAGCACAGCAGGTAGGGCATTTG